GAACTTGTGTGTTCCTAAGGCAGAAATTGCCAATTTATCCAAGTTCAGTAGGCAGCGATCCATTAAAAAACAAACAAACAAACAAAAAATCCCTTTACAACTTGCAAGCTCCTGAGAAGATTTAGAAGTGAGAACTTGGACTAAATACCATATCAGTGACCTTTCCAGGAAAGCTGAGGTACCTTGATGAAATCTTCTACTGGTCCAGGTTGCTCATATATTGTAACCATACAAATAAGGCTTCTGCATCCAAGGCTGTCAATCTGCCATCTTTCTGAGCACTAAAATGCCATAAACATATTCCTCTTGCTGAGCACACAAACTGCATTCACAGAAGGTGAAAAGTAATGAAGAAAATAAGCCAGATACCAGAATAAAGCAATGATTGTAAAGTGAAATGAGAACACTAAATTCAGGTAGTGGTGATAATAGTTTGTAGCTTTAAAAAATAGAAAATGAATAGAAATAAATGTGTAATCAGCACAGGGGAGATCAGACTCTGTGGAAGTATGATCAGTAAGTTTTTAGGAACCTAATTAGTCGTAATAATACTTGGCATTATTATACAGGGGTGGTTGAATAGTCCTTGCTTTAAGTGTTCTAAGATGTGCTTTGAATCTGCCAGCAAATTATTGCCTGTATCTTTTTTTTTTTTTTTTTTTCCTTCTCATTGTGGTAGAAATTACGGACTTAGAGATAACTAGAAATTCAAGTTGAATTTTTGGAATTTTTGGAGATTAATTTCCTCAAAAATGTCATAGCTCCTTTTACACCTGGAAATAGACACTGAAAAGCAGAAGTGCTGTTCTAAGACTAGTGAAGCAAACTAATTTTTTATTTAGATATATAGTTGCTGTTTTAAGCATTAGTTCATGTTCTGCTAAATTCTACAGTGATTCTAGCTTGGTACAGAACTATAAAGCAGATCTGCAAGAGTTTCTGACGTTGATTAATTCCATTCTGAAAACAATTAATCAGGATATACAGCATCTTTTTTTACTTCCACCGTGGAGAAAGAAAAAGGAATAGGCTATAGTTAATAGGTGGATATAAAACCAATGAGATTTAAACTGTCAAGTGGGTTATCTTCAGTAATGGGAGCCAAATTTAGTGCAGCATGTATTGTATGTATGAACATAGGGAAATTTTTAAAAGGAAGGTTGGCTGAATGAGCAGTCTTACCATGTGGAATGTATGTGTCACAGAAACATAGCTGAAAAAAGAACCAGTGATACATTGTAATCTATCTGTAAACTATTCCTAAAAGAAACAATGTGGGTAATAAAGATGGACATGTAGAACTAAACCTTAAGTGCATTAAAAATGTGATAGATTTGTATGTTGACCTCATAATCAAAGCAAATGGAGAACAGTGTTGAGACATTTAAAAGAATTAAAACTAATAGAGCAGTAATAATGAATGATTTCAACTGTGCACACACAAACTGATCAAATGTCACAATAAAGCAATATTAGAAGTAGTTCCTAATGCATTCAAGCAATTTCATCTTAGAACAATTACTTCTCATGTGTACAAGTTAAGAAATTTGTCTCAAGCTATTCTCTTCAATTCACATAAAATGATGGAAAAAGGAAACAACTGAAGTGAAAGCCTTTGCAAATTCTGACCATAAAAGACAAACAGACAAAACAAACAAAAACATTTTATTATTTGGAAAAAAAGACAGCTGAATGTAATCAAATGACATTCAACTTCAGAAGATATGATTTAAACTCAGCCATTAATGTACATACTCCTTTATCAAAAAATCCTCCTGATATTTTAGGATCTGTTTCATGATAATGTGTTAAGTCTGTCAGAGCTTCTCTATCCTGAGATATTGACTTCCACAGTTGTTCAGCTCCCAGATACTGTCACTTTTTGTAAAACCACAGCAAGAGGACTAACTCTGCAGGTATTTGATCCCTCATGAAGCCTGATTTTCCAGATAGTTAATTGCCTGAGGGACTGGACAGCTTTTGAGACAACTGTCTACAGTGTGGAACAGGCTGAAGAAGAACAGAAAACATTTAATTCCCCAATTGTATTTTCCTATATTTGTCTTTCAGTGAAAAATTTAAACTCTTTGTTTTTGTCTCAATTCAAGATAATGTTTTTCAAAAACATAATAGAAGAAAGTGCAAGTTTTTGGCAAATCCTACTTAAAATGCTAGTACATGGAGACTTCCTACAGCTATCATTAAAAAGTCATGGAAACATGGAAGACCCTGCATATAATAAAGCAGAACTCAAATGATTCCTAAAGCATCCTTCAGAAAAACAAAACAAAACAAAACAAACAACAACAAAAAAAAACAAACCAAAACAAAAAAACAACAAACAAACAAACAACAACAACAAAAAAACTAGTTCTAGGAAAAATGGCAGAAAACAAAGAAACAAACCAGAACCATAAACAATCACAAGCAAAATATGAGTGGAAAATTGGAAATTGTAGGGGAATCTGATCTTCAAATAGTCAAAAAGCAAAATCATAGGCTCATTTCATCTGTGATGAGCTTGACTGACATAGGGATTGGAATGGAAATTACTTTGCAGAAACTTGTTTGCATTTCCTGAAACTCATCCTTTCTGAAAGCTGGCCTAGTCTCAGAAATGATTCATAGCATTGTATCCTCCTTAAAGACAAATTAGGACTAACCTTAGGTAGTCAGTATACTTATTTCTATACCATATTTAAAAGTTGTGTGACAGCATTTCCAGTGCACTTTTTCTATGATTCCATTTTGTCCTTATGACAGTCATTATCAGGATCTTTACAGGGTAATCCGTCTGGATATACTAAATTCCTACAGAGCCATGTGACATGAGACAGTCACACTATGCCTTAATATGACAAAATGCATAACTAATTGCAGCATGAATTAAATTTTCTCCCTCAAGTTGTGAAGAGTTTGTTTTAGACTGAACACACAGTAGAAGACAATAAGTTTTCACATAGGGAAAAATCCAAGATAATGCTTAAGATGCACAGTAGACACAGCAATGTCACAGTTTTTAAGTACAATAGTTCAATGCATTTTCATGTCTCTTCTCAGCCCCTGACATGATGCCATGCTCAATGCTGAGCATCCAGTTCTTTTCCACCCATGAACAGAACTGGCATGTATGGAAGTGGAATTCCTGTGTATGTCAAATGACACAGGGAAGGTATATGATGGTTCATAGAAGACATCTCAAAGTGTTCAGAGATAAATTACTCTAACAAAACACAAGCTGAACTCTGAAAGCTAATGGGAAGATCTGAGCAACAGCAAGATCAAAGATAACTTCAAGGTATCACTGATCATTTCCATCTCTGGGATAGAAACTCCAGTGCTACAGAGGGGAAAAATGTGTTATGGCATTATCTTGGTTTTCATAAGTTCATGATAATTGCTCATGATTAACGTGGGTGCTAGTCACAGAGGGCAGGAAAGGAGATAGATTCTGCTGGAAAAACTGAGGGAGATGAAGAGCTGTCCTGGACACAATACAGCATGTATAAAGTCAAATTACTGAGCATAAAAATTTGAGTATGTTCTAGAAAGCAGAACAGAGGTTATCCATCCACAGTGACAATGCCTAATTTTAAGGACAGATGCATAAAATGGGAAAGCATGTTAAACAAGAATTAGAAGGCACGGCCAGAAGTCACATGTAGACTGCTATGTGATAATACCCTATCTGTATTTTTCAACAGATTGAAAATTGACACAAATGAAAGGAAATATGTCTTGGAAACAGAGAAGATAGAAATACCTCAAACCTAGTTAAATGGTGAGGTAAACCTTCAACAGTACACCAAAAAAAATAAAAAAATAAAAAGCTATGATCTAACACTAAGGCAAGAGAGATTTCTAAAACTAAAAATCATATTTCAGGAAACTGAAGCTGTATTGAATAAGGAAAGTCCAAAATAATTAACAGATTAAATGAAGTGAAAATCTTAGCAAGGCAAGTCAAAAAACATTTGTAGAAAACCATGGAGAAATCATTAAACTAATAAAAAATACTTCTAAAAACACATTGGGATCATGGGAAGCCATATTACCTACAAACTACTGTAGACAGGGAAAGCTGTCATATAAATTAGCCAAAGCTATCACAGTATTATGGGGCACATGGATAAAGGAAAAGTATTAATACAGATTTTGTAAAAAAGAAAACTTGAATGATACATTTCCCCTAAACCCTGCTCCATAGCTTTAACATCAAGGATGTAACTTTGATAACACTTGACATACAGGTGAAGGCATAAAGTCACATTCACAATAAGCGCCATAATTCTGCAAAAATCATAAGAGACCTAGAATCACAAAGCAAACATACAAAGTAACATCATCTTCCTATCCATAAGCATGCTCTAAAAATTAGTCACCTGAAGAAGAGCTGCATGCAGTAAAGACATCTATTACTATATAGCTTGCTTTACTCTAAAAGACCCTACTAGCTGTTACCTCAAAAAAACATGCTTACCTCTCTCAACTTGGAAACACATTAGCCCATACCCTCTGACCCACCTAAAGTGCAAGGGGCTGAAGGAAAAACAAAACACTTATTCCTCTTTTTACATTAAAAATAAATAATGAAAACAGAACTTGAATGATTGGTTCTATGAGTTGCTGAAGTAAATTCCAGCAGTCAGAAACTTCCAAGAAAATCCTTTCTATCACTTCTTTCTTCTTATTACTTGAAACTGAGCTAGCTATACTTCAGGTCATTCTACTGGGTTTCTCTTGAAGCAAGCAAAGACAATGTATAACTGACTGTGAAGAACTGCAGAAGGACCTCAAGATGCTAAGTGACTGAGAGACAAAGTGGCAGATAAATTGGTTAGAAAGTGAGGCAAAAAAGGAAACAAGAAACAGAGATATACATTGAACTGGCCATCCACTACTGTGATACATGAATGGGATTCTAGATTTGTAACAGTAAAACATAAGCTTAGTGCTCAGTACCACAAAAATATTATAAATTATTAAGACAAAAACCAAAGTTGAAAGCCAAAATATAATTAAAATAACTGTGTAAACCAATGGTGAACATTCCTGAATGATATGTGCTTCCTGAGTCCTCCATGTAAAAAATTAAAAATGGAAAGAGAGAAGGTTAACAAGCTGATCAAAGGCATGGTATGTTTTTTCTTTATGAAGGATCCCCTGCAAGAAAAAAGAAGACTGATGAGGGAGGGAAGTACAGCAGAAGTCTGTAGAATTGTGAGGATTGTGGAAAATGTGAACAAGGAACAATAGTTCTCACCTTATTCAAAACAACAAGTAATAGTAATTGTTTTGCATGGTATGTGGTCAAAATGAGAGGTTTGCCACAGGATATTTTGGATAGTAAAACTAAGTAAGGTGCACAGAGAATAAAAACAAAGAACATCATGTTAAAATTTGAAATCAGGTTTGGGAAGTTCACCTACTAGAATCATAGAATGGCTTGGGTTGGAAGGGACCTTATAGATGATCTATTTCCAGCCCCCATGCCATAGACAGGGATGTCACCTGTATCAGGTTGCCCATGGCCTCTTCCAGCCTGGTTTTGAACACCTCCAGGGATGGGGCATCTATCCTTGTGATGGATGGGAAAAATATCTAGAATTTGGTTCCTTTCCATTGGCCTTGTCTATTGGCCAGAGAACACTAAACTAGAGACCTTTGTTTTTTCTTGTAAGAAAATGCATATGCTTTTATACGTCCTACAGATGGTTGATAGTTACTTGAATACTCCGAGACAAGCCCAAATAACTCTTTCTTGACTCATAAGATTGAAACTCTGTAGGATATCAGTGGTCACACTCTGTTGGGTAAAGGATATTGCATCTACATAATGACACCATTTAATGTTCTGTGTCCTTTGAAAAGTGAAGTTAAAGTTGTGGATACAGATTTACCTCAAAAAACGAGTGATTTTATTTTCATTTCAGATATATAATAATATTCTAGTTTTCTAGATCACTCACTGAAGACTCAGAAGTAGAAAGAATGACTTCAGATTCAGCCTGCTAGATTTTAGCTACCTGATGAGCACACAACAGATTTACTGAAACGCACATCACTCATTCATGCTTATTTTTCTCAGTTGATGTGTTTTTCAGCTTGACCTCAAGGTTAAGACTAAATTCAAGATAATCTTAAATGAAAGGTGGCTTCTGAGAATAAATTTGAAGCATATCTGGAGAGGGGCCATATACCTAAGAGAAAAACTGAATTGTCTAGGTCATAAATCTGTAGAGAATATTTTTCTATAGTTTTATTTTAACTTAAAATTAATTAAAGAATGGACTGATAGGAACTGTTTCCTAAACTTTTATTATTCAGACATGACAAATTGTCTTTAGAATAAAATGAGAGTCATTGATTCTTCTGTTCATTTGAAAATGTACAAAGAAGAAAAACAGCAAAATACTCTGAATAAGGATCTAAAACTGGATAAATTTATTGTAATGCCTTCTCTTGACAGAAGAGTACTACTGAAAGATGTTGCTGTGATGTGGAGTTATTTCTTGATGTTCGTAGACACAACCTATTTATTATCATGTATTTATATTTGCATTTTGAGACTGGAAAAAAAAGCAATCTATCCTTCCTGTTAATGGAATCATACTGTTGTGATTATTTCTCTTGAAAGAAAGATTCTTAATTTATTTTTTTTAAAGACGAATTTCCATATCTAGATTTAAGTAGTAAAGGAAAACCTCTGGGAAAATAAAGTTTTGTAAATATAGTATTTGAGTGATATTTTAAAACCATTTTATGGTTCAAAACAAATACAACATTTCAGAAGACAATAATTTTTCAAAGCTATATTTTGTTCCACGTGCCAAGCATATGTTTCAGCAGAACTTTGAAAGAGTCTATAATATTACATGGATTTCCATATTTAATATTTTAAAACAAATTTTATTGAATAAACATTGAGTCAATATCTTATCAACATGACAAAATCATGATTTTAATAGGAAATTACAGTCCTGCAGAGCAATATAGAAAAGGTTAATCTTAAAAAAGAAAACTAATTAGTAATTCATGTTTAACTCTAAATTCTAGTTGCTTGTCCAATTAAGATCCATCTGCTTCATAGCCTTTTCTGTGCATATCAAACATGATGTTCAAACAAAAAAATTTCAAAAGTCTTCACGCAGAGAGGAAATAACATCCTCATTAATGAGAGTTGTGCATCATTCCTATTATTCCGGCACAAAGAAAAAAAATAATCATCTAATGAGTTATCTGTGCTTGTTGTAAACTGACTTGAAGATTAATCTTTGTTAACTACTTGTTTAATGTTACAGTTAATAATTAGTTACCTTGTAGCCCTATATCATCCATCACTTCACTGAACTGAATCAATTCTTTTTTAACTTATAAAAGGTTGTTTATCTTTGCTTAAGGCTGCTTTGGATAAAAGATATAAGGAGTGCTGATTCTCTGAGAGTTTTTTGTGCATGCAAACCACACGATGTTCCATATAAGTTTCCATGTTTTTCTTTCCACAATAAAAACACATTTTATTGAAATTTTCTTCAACATAAATGGTAGCCACATAACTACGTACCATTTTAAGTCATAAATATTTTCGTACAATCTTCAGTGCAAATGGGACTTAGAGGAAATAGTATAGAAGTGTGATTCTATTACATACTAGTAATAGAATCTAATGTCTTCTATGACTATTTTCTGAAATCTGTAAAGGTTAAATTTAAATTACTTTGATTTTGGCAGTGAATTTCCTGGACCTTGAATTGTCACTAATGACAATTTAGAAAAAAAAAAAATCATACCATTGGCCTCTAAGAATTAATTTTTTTTACTGGTAGGATCTTGACTTGAGGAGGGCCATATAACTTTAGCTTTTCTGCTCAGAACTGTATTCTAGTGTTTGGTGTTGTTGATTTGCGAATTTGTTCATGTTCATATTGTGTAACTTATTTTTACATCAAAGAAATTTCTCTCTCAAGAGCTGGAGATAAAGTGTATGGGATCAACAGATAATGTTTTCCATCCTAAATTACAAATAATTAACTGCAGCAAAACTAAAGAGGTGAAATGATAAAAGTAAGACATGGAAAATAATGCCAAGGGTTAGATTTTATGCTCACCAGAATCAGCAAATTAAAAGTTACAGTTCCCTCTGTGATGATATCTCAGTCCCCTGGCATATATGCTGTATTCTGTTTTGCAGCACATTATATTATTTTTAATGCTTTAATAGCAGCTGAATTAACATTGCTTGGGGGGGGGGCTATAATTTTAAGTGTGTTGTCTATTGTGTACATGACACTACCACCATAATGTTCCATTAATATATTTTTCCCCATTTAGTTATGTAAAAAATTGATTAGACACCTTCTGTTGTGCTGTGTACTGTACAGTACTGTGTAGTACTACAGTATACTACAGTGACTGGCTGGATCTTCAGCTAGTGAGAATGGTATAACTCAGGTGAAATTTTGAAGCTACAACTATTTCCATCATCTGAAACTCTGTTCTGGTATGATTAGCATGGAGAGGATACAGCACATTAACATCAAGACATTGCAAGGTCTTTACTTGGCCTGCAATAGATTTTCCCTGAAATTGGAATGTTAATTCTTGTCTCCTGGGAAAGAACAGCTGCCTGATCTTGTGCTCCATTACACGGGTGTAAATCAGAATGAACTCCCTGAAGTCAGTGAAGTTGTCCAAGTATGAAAAGCAGTGTGACACCCTATCAGGCCGGAAAGTTATTGCATAAGGTGACCTGAAATAAGCTTGCAGTGAGAAAAAAAAAAGTGCCTATAATGCACTTTCATGTGGTTTGTAGGAATAGTATAGGACCATCATTCTCTGCATTCTTGCATTCTTGTCAGAGGTATCTCTCGGTTCTCTAAGACCTGACAAAGTGCATTTAAAATTTTTTTGGTCTTGTCTTACAAATCAGAGACTGATTAGAAGAATTTGTGCAGTGATACAGAAAAAGTACTGGTTTTATTTAGTACTGGTAAAAAAGTACTGGTAAATATTTATTGAACTATTTATTCTTTGGTTTTGTACTTTCTTCAAGGTACACCACCTACTCAATGTTAAAGCAAATTAATATCAGCTGAAATAAAATGTATTTCAGATGTGGTATAAAATGTTGCTATTTGGTCTTCAAGATATTGCAGTAAAAGCCAAATTTGAGAAGTGGGAGGCATTGGTCCAGAATGGCACATTTATTTCTGCTTGTTTATTGTACACTGGTGGAGTCTTCAGTGGCCTGAGCCATAGCCAGAGGTGGTGAGACACGTTTGTTAATTGTGGGAAATTTGGCTTGCCAAATTTGTCATTGTTACTGCTGCACCTGGAAAGGAAGCTATTAAGTCACCGTAGTGAAATGAGTAGGTTGTGGGAACAGCTGTTAAGGGAATGAAAGGGGCATTTGGTAACTAAGCCTGTGTATCTACAGCTGTTTACTTGGGCTGTGTTTCTCTGTTTTCAAATATTTTCTGAAGTGACATCAAAACTGACAGACAGTAGGAATAATGATGTAGGTATAATCTCCATGAAGGAAAAAACAAATATATTCTATGATTCCATTACGCCAGATCCGTTGTATAGTATATGACTGCAAGAAAAGGACCAGGTATGAATGTCATTCTGTTGATGTTTATGAGGAGTTATTATTACACAGGCTAGCTTGGTAACTTTATTTGCTGCTTAGTTTCCAGAAGCTGATGACAGAGTTGGAACAACTTATTTTCACATATTGCTCTATTTCCAAGAACATATGAATGAAATCCAGACCTGGTGAATGCAAGGATAACACTGGAGATGGTTAGTTATAGTGCACATAGAAAGGTCCAGATTTATGATTTATATGATATGCATGAAGAAGTAGATGACACTCAAACCTTTCTTGTCATTTTCTGTGGGGAGCTGTATGAGAACTGGTCAATGTCTAGTGGAAAACATTGTTTATTCTTATTTAACTGAACCCCATACCTATAATTTGCTCCCACAGGAAAGAAACCTGGTATGAGTTAGAGTAACCTGTTCTGTGGTCTGACTTATATCAGATTGTTTCAACAAAGACAAAAAAAGTTTTTAAAATAATGTTATTTACATACTATACCCTGAGTGTGTAGTATTTGACCCAAGCCATACTTTTCCCTTTAATTTAGAAAAGTTTTTTGCTTAATATTGCTTAATATTATCTCAAATATAAAATCGTATTACATTTCAAAAAGTTTCAGACATTATGCTCTGCATACTTCTAATGCATTGAAGGACTATAATGTCACACAAGTATATAAGATACAAACCATAAATGATCATTTTCAGGTAAGGCCATCAAATAAGTAAGAAAACACCAGGTTTCATATTTTTCTTGCATAAAATCTTTTACCATCTTTGGCACTGGACATATCGTACATATTTTTTCCCTATTACGTAATAATTCTTCACCACTATTGGTAAATTTGGCAAATACTTGCTCTCCCCACTCCTCCCATTCCCTCCAAATCAGGTAAAATGTCCAGTGATAATAAAGGTAGTGGTGTTTAATTTTACTCACATTGGAATCATATTTACCACTAAGATTTCTCTTTCAGATTAAAAGCAGTCTACATCTAATCTCATCAGTTAATAGAAATACATTTGATGTATGAGAGCAAATATGTATGTTAAGAACACAGATGTGGATTTTTCCCTTTGTTTTATCTGAGAAAACCAAACTAATTCTAAGATGCTGTCAATAATTTATCTTTTCACCTGCTCACTTGCCAAGACTGGATGAATACACTGTGTAACATGGTATGACATGTTATTTCCAAATGAACAGATTTTGGTGTGATGGCTTGCGGTAAGGTGAAGTCTTAAATGATCAATATATCAATTATCACTCACAGAGATAAATGCCAGTTTCCTATTAACAAATGTATTATGATAGAGTACCAGTAAGATTAAGACAATGTTTCACTTAACTAGAACCTTTGGCTATAATTTGGCTCCTTACATATGGCATGGAGTGAGAGAAACAAAGTGATTCACTTGCTGGAATAAAGAAATGAAGATGTCTCACACTCCATTATCAATACTGGATATAACTTTTCATTATGGTATGGAAGTTTGATATAAAATCAATCTTTATAGACTGGCTTTTTCATGAGGCTGCTGACAACAATCTTCAAAATTTCCTGGCTACTCAGTTACCTCATTGTGGACATGCTTAATTAGTATAAGCATGTGAAGCAGTCACCAGATGCTTAGGTGTTTTTCCTTCTGGGAATATAATATTCTGGCTATTTTTCCCTATTTAAAAATCAGTTTTGAAACATTCAGTTCAGATCCTCATATTGCCATGGAGTTAATTCCATTCCCCACCTATCTTTTTGTTTGATGTTTAAACTAATTTTTTTATTATTATTAATTATTATTACTCAAATGCCTAATCAGTACTTTGGATCAAGGATCCTTAGACCATGAGGGGCTACTTAGACCATGGGACTCTGAGAAACCTGGTCTACTGGCAGCTGATGGGGTCCATCCATCAGAGAAGGGGAAGATCATCTTTGGCCATATGCTTGCCAATTTGATGAAGAGGGCTTTACATTAAGTTTAAACTAAAATTGCCATGGGAGAGGAACCTTAATCCATCCCACTCCTCCCAGTTTGATGCCAGTGTCAGTGATAGATCACAGAATCACAGAATCACAGAATTTCTAGGTTGGAAGAGACCTCAAGATCATCGAGTCCAACCTCTAACCTAACACTAACAGTCCCCACTAAACCATATCCCTAAGCTCTACATCTAAACGTCTTTTGAGGATCTGAACTGAAGATGAGCCTGGAGAAGGGTCACAGGTCAGCAGGAGAGAACCTGAAGAACAGCACAAAGGAATTCCAGCCCCTCCAGCCAGTAAATCAGCTTCATCAGGTGCCCAACTTAAATGTCTCTATGCTGATGCATGTAGCATGGGGAATAAAAAAGAGGAGTTAGAGATGTTTGCACGCCCACAAGGCTGAGACCTCATTAGCACTATAGACCTGTGGTGGGATAGCTCCCATGACTGGAGAGTTGGCATAGAAGGATACAGGCTCTTTAGGAAGAGATGAGGTAGGGGCATCACCCCCTCATGGGCAGTTGTGGCAGTCTGGTGAAGCTCCCACTGACTGGAAGAGGGGAAATATAACCCCCATTTAAAAAAAGGTGAAAAAAGGTATACCTGGGAACTACAGGCCAGTCAGTCTCACCTTTGTGCCTGTCAGGATCATGGAACAGATTCTCTTGAAAACTCTGCTAAGGCACGTGGAAAATAACGAGGTGATTGACAGTCAGCTTGGCTTCACTAAGGACCAATAGTACCTGAAAATTCTGGTGGCCTTCTACAACGGGGTTACAGCATTGGTGGATAGGGGAAGAGCAACTGACATGCTCTACCTGGATTTGTGCAAAGTATTTGACACTGTCCCTCATGATATTGTCTCTAAATTGGAGAGACATGGATTTGGCAGATGGATTACTCTGGTTTAGGAATTGGCTGGATGGTTGCACTCAAAGAGTTGTGGTCAATGACTCAGTGTCCAAGCAGAGATCAGTAACGAGTGGTGTTCCTTAGGTTTTGGTATTGGAGCTGATGCTGTTTGATATCTTTGCTGGTGACATGGACATTGGGATCAAGTGCACCCTCAGCAAGTTTGTCGATGGCACCAAGCTGTGTAGTGGGATGGACACACTGGAGGGAAGGGATGCCATCCAGAGGGACTGAACAGGCTTAAAAGGCGGGCCTGTGCGAACTTCATGAAATTCAACAAGGTCAAGTACAAGGTCCTACACCTGGGTTGGGTCAATTCCAGCCACAAACACAGGCTGTGTGATGAATGGATTGAGAGCATCCCTGATGAGAAGGGTGTTGGTTAATGAGAAGCTCAGCATGACTCAGTAATGTGTTTGCAGCCCAGAAAGCCAACCATATCCTGTTAGAGGTAGGTGATTCTCCTCTCTGCTCTGTTCTCATGAGACAACACCTGGAGTACTATGTTCAGCTCTGGGGCCCCCAGCACAAGATGAGCATGGAAGTATTAGAATGATCATATAATAGAATTACTTTGTTTTCAATAAATTGAAAAATACTTAAGAGGCAAACTTAGATCTGTAGTGATAGGACAAGAGGTAATAGCTTTAAATGCAAAGAGGATGGGTTTAGCTTAAAGAGGAAATTCTTCACTCGGAAGGTGGTGAGGCACTAGAACATGTTGTCCAGAGAAGCTGTGGATGCCCAATCCCTGGAAGTCTTCAAGGCTGGGTTGGATGAGGCTTTGAGAAATCTGATGTAGTGGGAGGTGTCCCTGCCGATGGCAGGGGGTTTGGAACTAGATGGTCTTTAAGTTCTCTTCCAACCTGGACTATTCTATGATTCTATGAGACAGAGATTTACCCTGTAGACACCTTTCATCTGGTGAATGAATCTCATAGGTGCAATCACCACCAACAAAAATGAGTAAAAATTATCCTTTGTAGATTTTTCCTAGATTTAGATAGTGTTAATTCCTTCATTTGAAAAAATGGAGGTATAATAGATTTTAACATAATTCTGTTGATTATAAAAATGGCAGCTTTTCTTAATAGAAACTTCACCATAGGATTTTTAAATGTCAAGTACATTTTAGTAAACTGGTTTGTAGTGAATCTATGAATTACATGAGTTTCTGCTTTACCTCCCAGTCCTTCATATTGCCTGTCCCTGTCTCCAAATCCAACCTGATTTTCATTATATTCAGTTTGTTGATCGGGGGGTCAATTTTGATCTAAATGGGCATGTGACTTTTTAAATCTTGATTTACCCTTTATTGTTACAGTCTGTGTGTTTTAACTCCTCTCATTGCTATGTGGTTCCCTCCTAAGTTACACAAGCATATCAACCTGACTCCCACTTTGGTGATATATTATTTGGTCCCCTCTGGATGGCATGAACTTGTAATTTGCAGACTTGACTCTAAGCTATTGAATTCAGCAGTTCATAAAATACCTGAAGATTTGTACCAAGAAGTTTGTGAGCTGTTTGTGCTAAAAACCAAACCAACCCAAAACCAAACACCAAACAAAAAACTTTAGTAATACAGTCAGTCAATATTTATCTTAGAAATTTAATGTAAGTTTAAAGCTTTTAAGATTTGATCTCCTGATAAGATTTGATCTTAATAATACTTTATCTCTTTGTTTCTTATTCTTAAAGCATGGCAATTAAATTATCAATTAAATTGTACATTTTCATCTCTAGAGAAAAGTTACTTTCAATGATATAAAGAAAAAAAATCCAGTACGTATGAATCCAGTACTATGAAAATAGAATCATACAGAAGGCACAAAGTGACTTAAGGGTATACAATAGGTTGCATCATCATGCAGAAATACCCAAGCAACTATGAAACCACTTAGCTCAGGTAACAAAATAAAGGGAGAAACTGGATTCCCACCTGCTCTGTGGTTCATTACCATCTCTCTGTTTCTTGTTCTCACATACACATAGGGAGGCAGACTAGTTTCAAGGATCTGTAAAGACTTTACCTCTTTATCAGAGATTTCATTAACTCAAATCCATTCAAGTTGTTTGATTGTTTTCATATCATCATTTTGAAAGAAGGAATTTTCCTCTTCAAGCTTTCACTGAGTGTATTCCTTGTCTGCACACAGGAATGGTGACATATGGGTCAACATCCATGATACAACATCTTCAAGGGTGCAAGTCAGTATAGTTTCACAGCTGAAGCTTCCAGTAGGATAAGAAAGCAGTAGAGTAAGATTTAGGACAGCTTCACTCAAATTTATATTTATGGCCAATATGGTACTAACCCAAAATCTGCATAGTTGTATGTAAAGTTTTTCTTTTATTTCAGGCTATGGTGATAGAAAAGTGATAGGAACAACTCCTAATTCTGCCCACATATATAAAAAAAAAAAAAAAAAAAAAAAAAAAAGTATGAATCTGCTAAGATTTGTCCCTGATTATCTTTTAAATGAAATCAATCTGTTTACAACAATTCACAAAAATTAAAGAGAGGGGGAAAGAAAAGGAGCATCTCAAGAATAATTTTTTTGAAAATTCTTTTTAAATTTTGCAGCAGTGCAATAAGTGAGAATGCACTGCACTCTGGAAACAAATTTATAAATACAGTTTCATCAAAAGAAATAATCAGCAGATGATATTCTGAGCTTACCTCAGGGAGAAAAAATGTTTCAAATTAATCCTCTAATATATGCCACAAATTCTGTAACACCTACAGAAAAGACAGATTTGAGAGATACATTATTTTGGTAGATATAATTTTAAACTAATCATCTTATGTTTTGAATTACAGAGATCTGTAATTCCTCCTTGCTTTCTAAAAAAAGGTATGTTTATGTAATGCAGTGACAGAACTTGTAATGCAGTAATTACTTTCAGAGATAGAGAGATCTTGCTAAAACTATAAAAACTATGCAAAGGCTGAAGGTAAATGTATTTAAATAAACCATTGATTATATTGTCGTCTACCAGAGGATTTGGTTAAATATCACTCCAAAATATAATTGCTAAGATCACATAGGAGAATAATTAACCACAAAGTAAAAAAAAAAAGTTGTTTATATATGTTAAACTTATAAACTTATAAATTATAATTAAATGTTATTTCAATGCTAATTGTATCTGTTTGAGCTGAATCTGCACTTAGCTAAATTCCATAGGCTTCACTTAATTTGAACACCCTACATGCACATGATTCATTGCAATCCTAAAATGCCTATCTTCCACGCAGGTATACTGGGTGACACATCCCAGGATAACCCAGATAACTCAACTGTTGGAAACAAAGGAAAAACATGCAACCCTTGTGTAGGTTAAAGAGAAATTGTTTTAAATATATCTCAGCACTGAAGAAATTGAATTAAATTGTTCAGGTGTTTTTAAAGATATGGTACAGATTATCTTCCTTCTGAAATTCTGTTCAAAGAGCATGAAAGTATGTGTGCATGAATGATAAAACATTTTCCCACTAAAAATATTTTTTGCATGTTAAACTTTTATTTTATTCATTTTAAGTTCCTTGGAATTAACATCTAAAACACCTCATTCTCCAATAATGGCTCCATCTGACATAAATTATTATTATTATAGATCAATAAAACAGGTACTATCTGAGTGTTTGCAATCATTTTTTCTTTGTAACCATCTTTATTCATGGTTGTGCTATTATGTGTTAAATGGTTAATTTAATTTGTTGCATGAGAGTTCTCAGATTTCAATTCAACTTAGGGTGGTTGCTTTGCCTATTGACTATGTTGTTCTGCTGCACTGAATTTAAAGACATCTTGAAATAGTGTTCTTGCACTAATGTTTCCAACTTCTCCTTTAGGGTATCAGTAATTATTGTTTTGTAATTTAACAGAATGAAGTTCTACACAACAGATAAAAAGCAAACAAACAAAATCAATTTAAAAATATATTCAATCAACCTCAGAGACCTTAGTATTCAGTACACATAGTTTCAGGTCACGAAATCTAAAATTCTATCCTTTTCTAACTCATTTGCTGAATAAAATGAATCAATTGAAATAAGCTTCACAATAACCTCTATAATATGTGCAGGTCAATCTGACTTGTTGATAACTTAGGACCTGAAGAGTGCAGATGCTGCAATTTACATTTAAGATCAATATCCTCAATGCAAGGTTAAAACATTAATATATAGCAAGCCAGTGAATCCTAAAATCTTTATACTTCAAAAATAGAAGTGGACAAAACCTTAATAGAAGGTGCACATATCCCTATTCATACACTTGTACTATAAAATTGATTGTAGCATTCCTGCGTTTATAGTAAATTCTCCAGGGACGTGATCTTTCAGTAGCTGTGAAAGAATAGGTAGATGAGTCTTTAAAGCTCATTACAGTTTGTTGTAGCTAATATGCTGTTTCATGAAGCACTCAGACAAATCTCATTATAAAGTTCTGCCTTCAATAATCCAGCTACCTACTGTTTGGGTGCTTGTGCTTTACTCGTTTAAATTTAAAGGTGCATGAGAAACACTGACATGTGAGTCCAAAGTGACTTTGTCCCATCTAATCACAGAATCCAAAGTACTCAGAGAGCTGTAAGAGAACTCAGGAAATAAACCACTTAACCTGAATTCCAATCTTTCACTTTAACAAAATATTTTTTCATTTAAAATGGAGTTACAAAATTTTAGTGGAAGTATGCCAAAAATTGCACTAAACATCTTTAAAGTCACATCTTGGAAGTTGCAACAAGAGTATATAGGTAAAAATAATCAAAAAGTATTCATTTTCCTAAAGCTGATTACTTCCAATACACGGTTGATTACTATTTCAACAAAATAAATGGAACAATTAGAGAATACTGTTGCTGGACACTGATGAAAAGAGAAGCTGAACAAACAACAAATCAAAATGATCCCATAAAGTGCAATAACCTCACATTTGCTGGTCTAATAATGTAAACAGCATTGAAATTCATGCCAAAAATTTATTGGATGGCTTATGCACTGCAAAGAAAAATGAAAAGCAAACAGAATAAATTGCAAACTCTTAAGAATGATAAAAAGCTGTTATCAGGTAAATGAAACAAGTTGATACACCATTAAATGTGCTTTACAAACTCATTTATGTCATAATACCATACCATAGCCAGTACCTGGCTGTGCTCCAGGAGCTGGGGAAGTGGGCATGTTGCCACTGTTACCTTTTTCAGCAAATAATATATCCTGTCACCGCTCTGCATCATAATCTATCAGTGTCTTTTAGAGCTCTGACTGTGACCTTTAAGTATTCTCTTGGTATGGTTGCAGCCCACTATAAAGATGTATGTTACCTCATTTGGCAGGATTTCAGTGAAGGGTGTACATGTATTTCTATGGGGAAACAAGTTAACTGTATTCTACTAGGTCAGACAGCAGCAGATTCTTTGATTGCTGAACCCCCACGAATGACTCTGTGCACAATCTCCATCTATAATTACCCCAGAATATATGGTTTAAGACTGGCAACTTTACTTAAATCCAAAGACACACTCTGAGAACTAGTTTTTAATACTAAATGTATTAGAATTTTTAAAGCTCTGAACTTCTGAATCTTTCAGCATGATGGGTATTCAGGAGTATTGTGAATAAGATATAAAGATACTATCATGGTTCAAAGAAACCAATATAAACCAATTATTTCTCTAGCTGCAACTAAGGGACCAATTAGCAGTAGCTGGCATAGAGGACTGCAGCCCAGTTAAAAAGGAATAGCAGCCAGAGGGGTCAGTTTCTATTTCAGAAAAGGGCTGCAGATAATATATGTAGTTAAAAAATAAAAGTATGATAGACAACACAAAAGTAAATGATATCTATTAGCACACAAAGGTAGGACCAACTCAGGAAAGAAGAAATAAAGAAGAAAGAGAAGATGCTTGTATGCTACTGACTCCTTTGTCTGTTATCTACAGGGGAGGATGAACTGGCCTTTAAATGTAAAGGACAAGAAGTGTCAACCTTCTGTGCTTGGAAGGGCTGAAGTATGGGAATCAGGCCCAGCAGACATTAGGCTTTGTTTGTACTTTCTATTATCGCTTTGATTTCCCTGTTTCCCTGCCTTTTGAACTGGCTGGAATAACTCTGGCATGTCTCTTCAAAAGAAAGTGAAAATGGATCATGCTCCTGCAGCTTTGAAGTGCTGCCTCTGTAATCTACTATCACACCGACCAGCAGAGCTGAATGATTTAAAAGTTTCATACAGTTAAGAAGGCCCCAAGAAATGATGAACAGAGCAAGGTCCTTTCACAGAATAGCAAAGTCAGTGAAATTGGTACATGCAGTTCCATTTCATTGTCTTCAATGAAGATATTTTTCAATCACATTTCCAAAGAGGTAATGAGATGCTTTTATTCATATGCATCCCTAGAGTTAAGAGTATTCCTCCTCCTCTAATTTTCTATAAGTGAAATGTTAAGGGACTATTTTTCTAATTTTCTATGTGGGAAATCAGGGCCTGTAATAAAGATAATAATAATAATAATAATAATAATAATAATAATAATAATAATAATAATAATAATAATAATAATAATAATAATAATAAAAACAGCAACAACAATAATAATAATTTTTCCTGAATTGATCTATTCATATAATTTCATCTATTTGGTCCTTTGGATCTCTTTGAAATCAGGATAGCAAGTCTGAAGCAAAGAAACTCATATGAATCTCTATTTCTGTTGCTAGGTTACTTCAAGAACTGAAGTTAGCTTATTTAAAAATGATTAAAAGTCCACTAAAACACTGCAAATATCTTTACAGGACAGACGCATTTCTTAAATTTTCTTGCTTTGACATTTCTGACAGGATAGGATAAAAAGTGCCAACTGTCATAAAAATAGCTGTGTTTTTAGTTCTAGATCCCTCATGTAATATGAAATTATCTATGAAGTAATATAAAAATAAAATGCTGGGAAGCAAAGATAGTTACTGTATTTTAGACTGTTGATGTCAAGATGTTATGTTTCTCATACAAATTTGTAAGAAGACAGTGTCAGGAATATCCTTAATATTAACTGTAAAACACACAAGGTTTTCTAAAACCAGAAATTTCTACTTGACTTTTAGCTTTTATTTTATTAATTTTTAGTCTATTTTTTTTTTTTTCACCTAGCAGTTCCTGGTCTGCCTTATTCTCTGCATGATAGGTTAGGTATAAAAACACAAACATCAGAGGGTAACTTTTACACTGTAATACTCCTAATATTAGAGTTATTATTATATTAGGTTACTCCTAATCATATTTACTTAATAAATGTCTACTTGCAAAATAAACTGACATAATAATAGGGATCATAAATTAAATTCATATTTTTTATTTGTGTGCGTAATAGAGATGATTGAGGTACTTGAGTCTTTAGCATGGTCCATAAAAGTACCTCCTAAGTGTGGACAAAAAACACAAAACAGCCACAAAAAAACCAAACAACTAATCATAACTTTTCTTATCATCTTCACTAATCCCACCATGTGTACACTACTACAATCACAATGAAGATCTTAATGTAAAAATTCTGCTCTTGAGCTGTTAAAACAAACTGGTCACACTGTTGATTACATAGCTGTCCACAGGTGTTGATTTAAAACTTGCTTAACATAATGAAGTTGAACACTTTTCGTGAAGTTGGATAAAAATGATTGCTTTTTGCCTCTGAAGTTGATTGTGGACTTTGTATGCTTGTTTGTTTATTTATTTGTATTTTTTTGTTTTAAGAAAGGTCTTTAACAGAGAATATTTCATGCATATATTTACCTGAATTATTTAATATATTATATCAATACTTAAATATTTCTGTAAAACCTGGGGGAAAGACTGTTTAATTTTTGTGTCTTTGTACATACTTCTCTATCCTTCTATCTGTATTTTATGTCTTTGAAAATACTGATTCAGGTAATGTTCCTTGCTTATCATGTATACTTGAAATGACTGAAAATAGAGCTGAACATTGGAGCAACTCTATTAAGCATTTTAATTCTGATTGTTGAAGTCACTTTATTCCTAATAGAGTGGTAGATTAGTTTTACCTATTTGGTATTCTGCAATCATAAGCAGTGTATTTAAATACATTAATCATATAGAAGATTTCTTTACCATATAGTGGAGTCATATACTGTCAATTTTATGAACATAAAGGGAGGTTATGTCTCATACTGTCAAAAATTAAAACATACTCTTTTTCTGTTGTAAACTTCCTCAGGATAAATTCTGTAAGATACTGATCTTAATTACAGTACCATTTTAGTAATGCTGGAAGGGTAAGATAATGATGAGGGTATGAGTCATTCTGAGAAGACCTACAGCCTAAATGAAAGATGATTAGTTTTAATTTACTTATAGCATATTTCTCAAACTTTAAAACTACAAAGGGCCTCTGTGTACATAGTATTCTGCTTAAGGTGGAGCAAATTTGACAGAATCTATTTTAATGTAGAATTTTATGTATTTATTTATTTTTTCTGGATTGTCCAATAGATACAGATTCATCCAAATTGTAAATATATTTCTTCAGTTACCACAATAAATGGAACCTGGTATGGAAGCACCTCATGTGAATGTGGAGATGAAATATTTAATTGTCAAGCTAAAGAAAGAGCAGACCTCGTATCTCACATCTGCAAATAGTAACCATAAAAAATAAAATAAAACAAAATTAAATAAAAAAAAATTAAATAAATAAAATGTTTATGAAGGGTAAAATTCAGTTTGACATTGTCACTTAAATGGAAGTATCCATACTTAGGTGTTTACAGATTTGCTACATTAGTCTGAAGAAATGTAGTCTGTTCAGTTAGCAGAGTCTAAAGAGACATATGGTTATCTCTAAAGAGATAACTAGCTGTTAGCATCTAGTGTAACTTCAGATGTCATAAGAAAAATATGTACATGCAATCCTCAGAAAAGACCTAAGACCTACAGGAAGTCCTGAAGTGCCAGCTATCTCCCAGGTTACTTCATATGGCATAAGATTCTTGTGTACTGGCAAATGAGTCAAGCCCTTAGTGTCTGTTCCTCTGCTTTAGCCCCAGTTTAGGCAACTTAATTAAAAATGTATGCTACACATGTTAGTTACAATATCACAAAAAAACTCAGTTCCTAATTAATTTTTTTAAGGTTGTTTTCTTAAAAATCATTAGTAAAGGCTATGCATTACATTAGCATTATATGCTAATCTCAACTGTATTTGAAGCTGTGTTGGTTTAGCCTTGGCAAACAGCCAAACACCCAGCCAGCTGCTCATTCATTCCTCCAAGAGAGAGGGGCAGGGGGAAAAAGTAGGATGAGAAGGCTTGGCGGGTGAGATAAAGACAGGAAGATTGCTTACAAGTAGCTGTCACAGGCAAAACCGCTTGGAAAATTAATTTATTGCCAAATAAAACAAATTGGGTTTGTTTTACGACAACCTTTGCAACACCTTTCCTTCCCCCTCTCCCAGGCTCAATTTCACTCCTTCACTCCCAGCTCCTCTACTCTCTGTCCCAAATGGTGCAGGGGGGAAGTGGGTTGGAAGATTGTGGCCATTGCATAATAGTCCCTCTCTCCCACTTATTCTCTCACACTTTCCCCTGCTCTACCAGCAGTACTGTACTCCCATGGGCTGTAGACCTCTCAGTAAAACTGCTCTAATGTGGGCTCTCCATAGGCCACAGCCCCTTCAGGAAATATTCACCTGCTCTACCGTGGTAGATGGCCAGACCACTTGGTAGGTAAGGAATTGGCTGGATGATTGTACACAAGGAGTTGCAGTCAATGGCTCAATATCCAGGTGGAGATCAGTAACGAGTTGTGTTCTTCAAGGGTCAGTGCTGATATTGTTTAACATCTTTGTCAGTGACATGGACAGTGAAATTGAGTGCACCCTCAGCAAGTTTGCTGATGATACCAAGCTGTGTGGTGCAGTCGACTTGCTGGAGGGAAGGGATGTCATCCAGAGGGACCTGGACAGGCTTGAGAGGTGTGCCTGTGTGAACCTCATCAGATTCATCAAGGCCAAGTGCAAGGTCCTGCATCAGGGTTGGGGCAATCCTAATCACAGACACAGATTGAGCAGAGAATGGATTGAAAGTTGGACTTGATAATCCTTACGGGTCCCTTCCAACTCATGATATTCTATGATTCTATGAAAGCAGCCATGATGAGAAGTACCTGGGGGTGTTGGTTGACAAGAAACTCAACATGCTCTGGCAATGTATGCTTGCAGCCCAGTAAACCAACCACGTCCTATGCTGTATCAACAGAATTGTGGCCAGCAGGTCGAGGAAGGTGATTCTTCCTGTCTGCTCTGCTCTCATGAGACCCCGTCTGGAGTACTGTGTTCAGCTCTGGGGTTCCCAGCACAAGAAGGACGTGGAAGTACTAGAACAAGTCCAGAGGAAGGCTATGAAGACAATCAAGGGGCCAAAGCACCTCTCCTACAAGGGCAGACCAAGGAAATTCAGGTTGTTCAGCCTGGAGAAGAGAAGACCCCAGGGAGACCTTATAGAGGCCTTCCAGTGTCTTACAGGAAAATTGGTGGGACTCTTTGTCAGACAATGTAGTGATAGAACAAAGTATAATGGCATTAAACTGAAAGAGGGTAGGTTTAGAATAGATATAAAGAGGAAATTATTTACTCAGAAGGTGGTGAGACACTGGAACAGGTTGCCCAGAGAAGTTGTGGATGCCCAGTCCCTGGAAATGTTCAAGGCCAGGTTGGACAGGGTTTTGAGCAACTTGATCTAGTGGGACGTGTCCCTGCAGGGGAGTTGGAACTAGATGATATTTAAGTTCCCTTCCAACCCAAACTATTCTATGTTTCTATGATTCTATGATTGCATGAGCAGCAGTGGATATCTGCTCCAGCACCACTGAGTGCCTCTTCATCCTTGTGCTCCACCGCCTTCTTCTCCTCCTCCTCCTCCTCTTGCTTCTCCTCTTCTCAGCTTGATATTCCTGCAACTGTTTTTCATTCTTTTTGCTTCCTTCCTCCTGCCTGTCCATTGCTTTTTGCCTTTTCTAAGTTATGTTTTTACAGAGGTGACACTAACTGCTGGGTCCACAGCAGAGCTGGCTGGAACCATCTAGAAATGTCTCTGTTCGTCACAGGGCAGTCCCTGATATATTCTCACAGAGGCCAACTCTGCAGCACTCCAGCTGCTAACTACATGCAATACAGAAGACAAATGAAACAGGAAAAAAAAATCTATAATTTGCATTCAAATAGTTCCTCTAATTTGGATTCAGCAGTGAATCCATTAAAAAACAACAACAACAACAGAACAAAACAAAAAACAACCACCACCACTAACCACAAAACATAAAGAGAATAGAATTTAATCAGCTAGGCAGTCATTCCCATACTGCTAAGAAGTCTTGCTTTCATATTCTCATAAACAGTGATAAGAGAAGCTCAGATCTTCCTTTGATGATAACATAGGAGATCTTTGCAAGGAACATTGTATAAGCTGATACTATTGTTAAACATCATAAGTGAATTCTTACCTTTGTGTGTGTTCAGGCCTGATTTTCCCATCATCTCCTGCATATCAGAGCATATCTCCTCTACTGATATGTTAGAATGAAAGCAGAATCATTACAGAGAATCTTTCATTTCTTTCTAGAAAAAAAAAAAAAAACAACACAAAAAACAAAATATTGTTAAACTACATATTTCTTTTCAATATAGTAGTGAGCTTCAAATATATGGGCAAATATTCGATCAAACCTACTTTTGTAGATCCTGCAGTCACCCAGCAGGCAATAATGGTAGAACCATGCCAGATTCTATTTAAAGTTATGGAGAGAATTAAGAGTTTCCAGGGACTTATATATCCCACCTTCAAATGGGAATGTAAAGCATCTTGCATGAACTGTATTCTCAAAGTGACCAAGTCAGGTTCAGCTGCCTAAACAAGGGCACCTAGTGTTGTTCAAAATACCCTATCTAGTCTCCAGCTCTTGTTCCACAAAGGCACAAGCACCCTATATAGGCCCTTTCATACCTGTCATGCCCATTTGGATTTCTTATGTACACTATGATTCAAAAATGCACTGATTGTCCCTGTTCTGTGGTCAATGACTATGAATCACCCTTCACTAAAAGATGAATAAGCTCCAGTAACTCTACTGAGTTGATTTTTTCCCTCCATAATTGGAGTGTAGACAACCAGCACTCCATGGATGTTTATATATCAACATACTAATTTAGGCATTCTAATACAAAGCTGTATCTCGCTGCTAAAACAGATGAGGGAAATTCCCTTTTAAGGATGCATATGTACTAGAAAATTATGCAATGCACAAGTATACTTGCCATAATAGAAATATAAATACCTGAATCATTAGGTTTTTAGAATCGCAGACAAGATTTCCCAAACTATTTCTGGCAATGATTTAATAAGTCTAGAACAGATACCATTCCCAGTAAGCAGTTTGGATGTGGTTACCCTGTCCTGAGTTCTAAAATATTTTATTTGTAAAGATGCAGCCAAACTATGCTAGCTGGCATCAAAAGCAGAGAACAGACTCCAGCACAATTTTTGTTTTGAAAGATGTAGCTAGAAGATACCACAATTAGTCAGCTACAGATCCCCCCGGTGAAAAAGCATTTTACAACTATCTAGTTAATTGTATGAAAACATTTTTCTGCATTATCATCACTCTCCTACAGCCACACAGAGGACAACACAAGCAGCATCCACCTTTGAACACACAGAAGCCATTCTTAGGTTACCCAAAATTCACATGTGCACATAAGGAACTATGTGATATGTATAAAATAAACTTGGTAGAGTAGCATCAGTTGACCAGAGTTTATCCATCATCTTCTCAGCTTCACCCCACACTGAGAAATTTACTTACTACATCTTTCAGAAAAAAAATAACCAAAGGCAGTTAAGCCAAGCTCCGTGGTATAAGTAGATATATTGACTCTGTCTTCTGACTTTTCTATGGGCAACAAAGTGCTGTCAGATTATTGGTATCACATTGGTAGACTATCGAGTCTTCCAGGGATGTTTTTCATGTTTTTTTTTTTTTTTTTTTTTTTTCCTTTCTTCTACATCTCCATGCCAAAGATAAAATAGGGAAAGTAGCCACTACTTCTGTGTGCTGAGGGTGTAATAAATTATTAAAATATACAGCTATTTAGCAGAAAATATATACTATATTTTTTCTTAATAAAATTGGCAAATGCTCACTTTTTAAAGCCCTTTATATGCAACATTTTTCTGTCTTAAAATATTTCATATTTTGTAAATGGGTTTTTAGAAACCTTTTGAGATATGTTGATGAAATATTGATTGTCATTTTCTTGACTTTTCCCACTCCCCAAATGCTCATCACCACCTGCAGTACTTCTGATTTATATTTTTTTATTATTTTGACAAATTAAAAACATTTCATACTGTGAAGTAACTAGTAACAAGGGAGAGTTTCATACACACATACATAAGGAAGAAAAACAAGCATACAGCACATACATTTCTATTATTGCTAGGTGGACTGACTTTTCAAGTTCTGTACACTAGCCTTGCCTTTAAATTTATGGGATGAATTCAGAACATTTAGTACTTGATCATGCATGCACATAAAGGAATGCTCAACTTCAAGCCTATAAGCAATTGTATGGAATTATGTTAATAATTCAATATAGCCTGAAATGTTTATAGGATCTTTCATTGATTAATTTAAACTGATCTAAAAGAAATAATCTTGCAGTTTGTTTCAATAATTCTATTTTTTTTTTGGAGTATCTTTTTTTTTTTTTTTTTTTTTTTTTCAGCATATGTTGAGCCTTTTCTAACCTAGTCAAAATTTGATCCAGAAATTGAACTAGAATTGTGTACTGAAATACATGGAAGTTAAGATCTCAGGTTAAAGCTGTGAAATTTTCCCAGTAGTTGAGATTTAACAGATAAATGTGCAAGGGCTGAAAGGCTTCCAAAAACCTAATGGACGGGAAATTGTGCCTACATGTACTGTAAGTTGTATATGAAAAACTGCATCCATATAATTATGAATACATGGTTCATGAAGGCTGGAATCAAAATTTGGTCTAAGAAATTAGAATCCAAAATTTTGTATTGCCGACTGGGAAACTGACTACTTGTATCCCAATTAAACTTCAGCTTTAACTTAAAGTGTCCCAAGACAGACTGTATCTAACAAATCCCTGTGGAGTCTTCCCTAGTAATGTGTGGTGGTTTGGTCTCACAAAAGGGCAAATCTTATGCAAACTCTAAAGAGCATGAAAAAAAACATGCCAAATCTTGTGGGATAAGCTGTCTTTCCATATAATAAGTACTTTTAATATTCTGTTGCGATTAGCAAATAATAAAAACGACAATAATAATAAAGGAATACCATGGTGTAATTGAAAATATGACTTGAAGTATTTTGAAAAGGAATATATTCTCAAAAATGTAGTGGAAAGTCAATATCTAACAATATCCAACAAGAACTGGTGCTTTTTATATATCACAGACAGTGTGAATCTATGAATATTTCACAATCTATCTGTCTATATACTCTAAGTTTAAATATATATATATATGTCCATAAAGAGGATATGGACATTTTTCAGTGTTCCGCATTAACAGAAAGGATTTTCCCATTTTCAAATTTCCTGTCACATTTGCATTGCAAATTCTACTGTGTTGCAGCAAGAGGCAAACTAGCAGGTTGGTGACCCTTAACATTTTAATTTAGCAACTGAAAATAAAAAATGCAGTGTACCTTAAAATATTCTTTTAAATTATAACTGCAACATGGTCATATGTATAAGTGCTAATGCAGAATAAGGGAAACTTGTAAAGTTGAGTGCTAATCCTTAATATATGCTGTAAATTCAGTTCCCCTTTCATATCTATTCACAATGACATTTCTGCAATACAGCACAAATAACTCAGAAAATACACATTTGGACTAGCAATTACATCAGACTTACCAAAAACATTAGAAACAGTTTATGATTCAGTGTTTATCACACACTGCTAATTCTAGAAAACTTACCACTGGAGGTTAATTAATGCATCATTGTCTTGCATGTTGGTGTGTATTGTTGTGGTTAGTGTACAAAGGACAGCTCTTACTAAAAGGTACTTTGAAAATTTTCTTTATAACTTGAGCTAAAGATTCATAGTGAGCTGATCTCTTATCTCACTGCTGACACTAGCTCAACCAACTGCTGTAGTGGTCCTGATTGGTCCACAGGAGGTCAGTGCCATCTGATCTCTTCCATCTCTGCCAATGTTGTTTGAACTCAATTAAAATGGAATCCTGGGTAGATTGAAGATATATTTTATTTTTAGAGTTGACCTAAAGTCATTACAGAAATTATGGCTAAAGAAATGAAGAACTTATCTTTTTGGATTTTTGTCCTACTGGTGATGGTACTGAAAAGCTTTGACATTCAGTAAAGATTTGCAGATACTTGCATATCTAGTGCTACATTATGTCATTGTTCTTATTACAGATATCCTCTTTCCTAGTCTTTTATTCACTCTAGTTTTACATGTCACAGAAGCTGAATAGGGAGCCACGGTTGGGTTGCTTGTTTACATAAGCTAAGAAACATAGGTCTGTTAATTGTTTCTCTACCTGGTACTCGTTTATAATCCATTTACACCTACACTCAATGAGTCAATTTCCAGGTTTCTTTTGGGAGACACTATTTCACTCCATAAAGGAACCTTAACAGCATCTGAAGAAATAGATTTCTTTAGGGTCTAACCTCTACAAATAGTATAGAGGAAATAATGTTAAAGTTAGCTTCTTTTAACCAGTGTTATTCTTCAACACTGGTTTATTAGACTGCATACATACATGACACCTTGACTTCATGTCATGCTCTGTTGAACGCATCATGCACCCACTGTAATGATATAAACCGCTTCTGTGTCAGACTGTGGAGCCCATGAATCTTCCACTCTGGCCCACAGGGGTTTCAAAAATATTGGAAAGGTTTCATTTGCAAATACAGGAGACCTAAATGAGGTCATCAATAACTCCCACACAGATAAATTGGGCAGCAGCACGTTGAACACCAAAAATATTGGCAGTGCAAATCTCTGGGATAATTTCCTCTGTGTAGATCTCTATGATCTTCATGAAGGACTTGCCTATTTTAAACTATTCCTAAACTATTTAAAACTAATCCTTATTATAAGATCCCGTTGTTTTGGGTTTATGTGGCAAGGGTTTGGTAGAAGGGGGGCTGCAGGGGTGGCCTTTGTGAGCAGAGGCCAGCAGCTGCCCCATGTCAGATCAGAGCCAGCTCTAGCTGGCTGGCTCCAAAAGGGACCAGCCGCTGGCCAGAGCTGAGCCAGTAAACAACGCTGATTGGGCCTCTGGGAGTGCAGAAATGAAGAAAGGGAAAATAAACAATAACGAAACAAAACAAGCAAACAAAAAAAAACACCAACAACAAACAAAAAAACTGTTGCACAACAGCAGCTGGGAGAGCATGAGAGCAGTGTTGGTGGAATTTAGGTGCTCATCAGAGTGAAACCACCAGTGGCAACCCTCTCCTTACCTTATGTATGCACCCACAATAAAACATGCTGTAAGGTAAAAATGTATAACTTCATTTAAAAAGCCTGAAGCAACAGCTTGTCATCCCAGGTATGGAATACAATTGGTCCCTCTTGTTGGACCTGAAATCTCACTGTTAAAATAGAGATCTTTAACAACATATAATTTCTTTTGGATTGGGGAATAAAAACTCCATTTATTTTATGATTTATTCTAATAACAAATAATTAGGATCCATTAGAATTAGAACAATGAATATAGCAATTCAGCTATCTTGTGTAAACAGATCGAAAAATACCATGTTCCATGAAAGGTACTAGGAATTCAGGTGCCTAGTGCTGTCAAGCTGACAAAAAGTTTGCATCTAGTACAGTTTCAAATGCCTTCATTCATTTTTCTGTCCACTCAATGGGTCATTCATAGGTCTCTTGCCATTGCTACCAGACCACTGGTATGGATTCCCAGTTGACACTACACACCTTTGTTTAGGCAAACAAATGGAACCATAGCAATCTGGTGCAATATAACTGGAAAAGCCATATAGGTGTGCTAGGAAGAGCTATCTATACATTTTCCACATCATTTTTCTTTGTGTAATAAGAGTACCCAGTCAGTAGAGAAAAAAAAATAAAAAGGATGAAAAGGTTCTATTCAAGTACTGTAATAAAATATATACACGCTTGTTAGTGTAAAAAAAAATCACAGGACTAATCAGGATAAGAGACAATGATCTTACTGCATCAGGAAGAGCACAGCTATGAAGATTTAAAAAAAAACACAGAAAATAATAAAATCAGCTAAGAAGCTTAATGAGCTGCTCTATGAAATCAGAAAAAAAAACATTTTATGAACAGAATAAAATCTTCTATTGCTATTATTTAAACTATAAATTTTCATAATGCAATGGTGAAAATCCACATGATATCATAAAGCATCACAAAAGGAAGATTATTTACCATTAAAATGCTAGAAGTCACTGTGATCTCTAGTTCAGCTTTCAGTCTCTAATTTTTACATGAAACTCTTTTACTTAGGATCATTATTTTAGCATTTATGTTTCTTGGTGACAAAATGAGACAACCAGTTGCCATCATTAAAGCTGCATGTCTCAAATAATGTTTAGCACATACTGGATTCTGATTTGTCTCATAAAATCTCAATTTAGGACTGGTAAATGAAATAAAACCTAATAATCACAAAAATTATGATCTCAGGAAAAACAAAACAAAACAAAACAAAAACAACAAAACAAAACACAAAGATACATTAGACAACACACACACAGACACAAGACAAAAAAAATAAGAAATTTGAATCACTCTTTAGTAATGTTTTTCTTCTTAAAGCATAAAATGATTATTAAATTAAAATGTGAAGCATCAGCACACGGTTACAGAGTTGCTTTCAAATTAACTGGTTAAGATTTACAGTTTACATCATGCATAATTATCTAAAAGACTATATTCTTTTTTCAAATATATATCTATTTCAAATGATTGGCTTATTAAGAAGTTATCTCACCTATACCGACCAATAAGTTTAAAATGCATTCACTTTGAGCCTGAGCTGGATGGACAGGAGTGGAAATGATTTAAAATTTGAAAACACTTTAAATTGAATCATCTTGTCTTCTGTGATTTTATTCTCATGATTTTGATACAGTTTATTATGACACAAACTCCCTTGTAGATACAGATTTACTGCAGAAGTCTGCTTCTTAACACTTCAAACAAGAAAGGCTTAGCTCTGACTTACATTAAGTCATTCATCTTTTACATTCTAGCAGCTTTTTCTCCTGTTCTGTGTCTGCCTGTGACCTGTGCATATAGGAGAAGACCTGGAATCTAAATAATAGTTTCCATTGCATTCTGAATCATTTCTGTTCATTGTTCTTCTTGTGTCTCTTGCTCTTTATTGTTAATAAGATCAAGATGGATTTCCATTGAGACTGTGACAGTAGTACTGTTAGCTTTTAATCTGTCAAATCTTCATGAAACCTCCTTATAAAACTACCTTCAGCTACCTTCAAGCTTTTGTAGCTTACCAGGACTTTTGTATTGTCTCTTTTTATATAAAATAGAATCACAGAATCATTCAGGTTCATCTAAGATTATCTAAGATCATCATAGATTATCATAGAACAGATGATCTAAGTTCAACCTTTAACTTAATGCTGAAATTCACCGCTAAACCATGCTACTGCGTTCTACATCAACACGTTTATTGAAGACCTCCATGGATGGTGACTCAACCACTTCCGTGGGCAGACTGTACCAGTGTTGTACAACCCTTTCAGAGAAGAATTTTCTCCTAATATCCAACCTAAACCTCGCTTGGTGCAACTTGAGGCATTTCCCTTTGTCTTATTACTTGGTGCTTGGGAAATGTTTTGATCACATTCCATCTCACAGTCTATCCAGCTGTAAGTTGCACAGTTTTTGGATAGAAATATCCAAAATTCCATGCATCTATATGCACTTACACATATCCTAAATATGATCCTTAATCTCACAACTAATGAAAATGTCATTGAGAAGCTGGAATATAAATTGGTTTTAGTGAAACAGACAGGAGTGTTTGCACAACTGTGAATTTTACTTTCTTCTCAGAAAATTTGAAATGTTGTGAAATAATGATAAGCATGTTTAGAATGACTGAAAAAAAATGTTTTTGCATAAAAAATACATTTCTTTATTGGAGAGGTTTCCTTGATATGACTGTCTTCAACAATCACCTTGTCAGATCCCTTCAAGACTTGCCCATCCACTTTTGACTGAAACAGACTAAGAATGCTCAGGCTAGTTTAAATAAGACCTTTTGGAAGCAAGGGAAAGAGTCTGTAAGAATCTGGATAGAAACACGAGATCTTTGAGGAACATAAGGTCAAAAAAGCCCTGAGCATTATTTTGAGCTTTATTTTTGGCCCACTCATATGTCACATATCTTAAAACCACTACTTTTGTGAGAATTTAGTAAAAAAAAAAAAAAAAGCATTTGACAAAATGACTCATAATTCACTGTACTTCTGGAGCACCTTTGATTTTAGTCATAGCCTTTCTTTTATATACACCCTTTCCAATGAGTGACATGCAAGTACAAAGTCCCTTCTGCTTCCTGAATGATGAAGGACACCTGCTGCTGCCTGGATAAATCATTATATTCTTTAAAGGAAAGGCTATCTAGATGAAAACTAATGTTAAGAAAAGTAAAAGTGTGAATCAGTTGTGGAATCATTGGGAAGATAAAGTGAGCAACAGATTTGGAGAGGATGAAAAGGCCTTGGGGAGAAGGCTTTTGCAATTTGATACGTATCTGGATAGTCCCTGAGGACATGGTGGGGAAGAACACAGAGAACTTAACGCTAGCCACTTCTCCCTTTTAAAATACTATGTTGTTCCATAGCCTTAGGTGGAAGGAAAACAATGCTCAGGGAACATGGACTAAAAAAAGTCCATTTCTCAGAATGTGTTCTTCAGAGTCTGATTTCCTTATAGAGAAGTAAAATAAAGAACAAAGAACTCTACAGGAGAAAAACAATCTCCCATTCAAGCCAACCAGAAAAGCATTCTTCAGCAAGTGTGGCTCAATGTTTTGTTGTTGTTTAAGTAGCAAGGAATGAAACTACTGAGCTGACAATCAAGACTAAATGTAGTTCAGTGTCATAGCAACAGAGGCTGGCACAACAGACACTACGAAAGCTGGAAGTCTCTGGAAGTGACAGACAAATCAAGGTCCTACTTATGTATTCAGCCATCAAACATAGAACTGCTGAGACAGTACAATGGGGAACCTTGGTACACGCAGACCTCTGCAGGCTACAAGGCTGACATATCTAACAATGACATAAGAACCTGTAGGCATAAAGCGTGAGATGGCTGGCATCCTTAACCTTCCCCTAACCTCTACACACTGTGTATATAACATGGCTTCCATAGAGGCAAGTTAAGAGATGGGCAGCATAAGCATTCACAGTGTAGTCTCATTGTGAGTCTTGCATATGAATGGTACTTTCCAGGGATGCTCGCTTTAACAATGTGAAGATTGCAGATGCCTTTCTACTCTTCTGTTCTTAAAATAAAATAGTAATGGGCAACAACAACAACAAAATCATTCCATGGACCTTGACATATTTGTTTGGATTTTCAACATCCCTTTTTCCGCATCTTCTAATTTTTCTGGGTTGTACATGCCATGCAAGTACACCACTGAAAGAAAATGACAAAACATACCTCAGGAGTACTACAGAACACTAACCATAAACATTGTTTTCTGTGAAAACAGAAGTGTATTTAAGTAGCAGGAGCAATGAACATGCTAAGGAGATATTTATAATGTAATCAGTTTTACCACATTTAAGTACTCTGGCATGAATTCCAGAAGCTATTATAATCATTAAGAATCATACCAGGAGGAACTTTCCTTGTATACAATTTAAATTTAGCCTGAGAATCAAAAATAAAATGTGAATATTGTCCCTATTGTTCTTTCTGGGCAGCAAGCTATATCACATAATCACCCCATACCATGTGTGATGAGTAGGCTGTAGAACAGTAAAGCCCTGACCTACGCTTAGAGTAGAATTAGAAGGAGTTCATTGATACTTATTTCAAATCCAAAGAGCGGAGACGGTATGAAATAAATCACCAACACATACCTGCCTGTACTTGAACAGATCAGTTTCTTCTTAGAATCACTACAAACACAGACTAGTTCAAAAGTGAAGCAATCAACACCAGCAGCATTAAATCTTCTCTCTGTTGACCAGCAACAGGACCTGAGGGAACAACATGAAGCTGCATCAGGGGAAGTTCAGGTTGGATATTAGGAAAAGGTTCTTCACTGAGAGGGTGGCTGGGCACTTGAAAAAGCTCCCCAGGTAAATGGTCATGGCACTGAGCCTGCTGGAGCTCAAGAAGCATTTGGACAATGCTCTTAGATATATGTTGAGGGATTTTTGAAACAGCAAAGATCCCATGGCTTGCTGCAGCTGAGCAAACCAAGCTACCAGGACGCCATGAAAAGTTCCCACATTGCCCAGTTGTTATAAGTTAGACCACACAATTTACTGGTCTATTGAAATTATTTTATTAATCAAGTAAGCAGACACAAGCAAAACAGCGCTGGGCGGCCGGGGAGCCTCCGCTCCACCACGACACACAACTTCCCCTTTCCAGTGTTGCTGTTTTATAGCATTGAAGTTCCGGCTTGTCGAGACTTGTTGATCTGTCGAGACCTGTCGACTTGTCGGGACCTGTCGACTTGTCGAGACAAGTCGCCTTGTCGAGACCTGTCGCCTTGTCGACTTGTCAAGACTTGTTCTGAGGCTGTGCAGTCTGTTGTTGGGGGTTGTTATTCTTCCTCCGGTGATCACGCGTTGTGCTTGTGTTCAGGTGGGGGCAAAACAAGATGTCTTGCGGTGGATGGGTGGTATCTTACAGAATCTTTGTTTTAACAAGGATGTTTACCCAACCCCCCTTCCCCATTTGTCCCCATGTTACAATGCCGTGAGTTGTGAAACCTTATCTCCTCAGTAGATTCTTTAAATTCTCAAGGACAATGAACAACCCCCTACTAATTTATCACACCAGTTGAGGAATTTAGAAAAATATTGTTGCCAGCAGCTGGCTAAAAGGACGGGATCTACGTGACTGCTAATCACAAGGGGGTTGTTTTCTTGCAGGTGGGGTTGTTTTCATGCAGTTGTTTGTCTGAGTGCTTTTGACCAATAATCTTGTGTGAGACACTATCCGCCCCTGTTAAGTTTACTGTAAAAGTCAGGCTATTCGGGTAATAAAGGGTTGCATGATCTGACCATACTAGTGTCTGTCATGTTTTCGGCCGTTCTTCCTCCAACATATATATACTTTGTGTGTGTGTGTGTGTGTGTGTGTCTCTGTGTGTGTGTCTCTATGTGTGTGTATGTGGCTCTGTGTGGAGCTGGGAGCTGGACTAGATGATTCTTGTGGGTCCTTTCTAACTCAGGATATTCAATGATTCTATGAAATTATAAATAATTTGACCAAATATATGTATATATACACACATACACAAACCTTAACAAGTGTTTATTATTGTTATTTATTTGTTCAGTTTTAGAGTATTACAACAAAATAATTCATATTTAGGTAATGAAAAGTTGCTGAGACTTCCCATGGTGCCTCTTTGATCTTTTACATTTCTGAAAACCCTAGATATTTAGCCTTCAGAAAAAAGTTATGTCAAATATTTCCTGCTTATAGGTGTGTATATAACTGTCAAAATCTTAATTTCACTTGTCTCCCAAAGAGATAGGCTTTATCAAAACACAGCATCTGAATACATCTTCAATAAAAAGATAGTTGAAAACAAGAGTTTTCCGGCTGGGAAAACAAACAAGCAAACAAACATTTTCTATGGGATTTCAAGTCAACAAATTCATTTCAAAGTTAAGAAATCTGCTTTCTTATAGTTCAGCAGGTCCTAATGCCCATATCACAGACTATCAAAAAGCTACACGCTATAATAAATCTCAAGTTATCCTCATGAAGCTACTATAAATAAATAAATAAATAAAACACATTCTATAAATAATTCTTAACTGGAGACATATCCAGGATGTCTGCCTAAGGAAAGATGAAGAAAAGTGACATTCAGTAGATATTTAATTCCAAGTAATTCTGTAAAATTATCTGGTTTCGGGTTTGAGGGCTGCCAAAAGTTGACCATGAAACAGCAATGCAAATTTGAAGCAAAGGAGATCAAAAGCACCCTGGGCTGTGTGAGGAGAAACAGTACCAGCAGGTCAAGGAAGGTCAAGGAATTCCCCTCAGTTCTGAATTTGTGATGCCATGTATGAAGTAATGGGACTGCTCATCAAAGAGAAAACAAGGGTCTTATCCATGGGGGAATTAGAAAAACAAGTTGATAGGGGGAGTAAGGAAGACAACACCAGGCTCTTTTCAGTGGTGCCCATTGCAAATACAAGAAGCAATGAGCTCAAATAGAAATACTGGAAATTCCATTTAATGATAATAATAATAAAATACTGTGAAGGTGGTCAAACATTGGAACAGGTTGCTCAAACGGATTGTGGAGTTCCCATCCCTGGTGATATTCAAAACTTGATTGTGCAACCTGATCTGGCTGACCCTATTTTGAGCAGGGGGTTAGACTAGAGAAGTCCCTAGAAGTCCCTACCATCCTCAACCATTCTGCAGTTCTCTAAAATTAAAGCACAGAAGACAGTGTCTTAAATAGCAGGGCCCTGGGTTAGAATGCTATGGGCAATACATATTGGGCAATAATGTCTGTAAGTATCTAATTGTAATGAATTATTTATTTTTTCACACAGATTTGTTGTAAATAGAGTTCTTCCATAATGTTCAGGATTTATCTGTTTTCCTTGAATATCCTTCACATATTAGTGCATGCTACTTCAGTCTTGAATAGTACTCTCTTCAGCCATAAAACTGGACATAGATATCACAGCAATACCGTATAACTCTGTTTCAACAGGTTTGATTATGATCATCTGATGCTACCCTGTGTGGGCTCTGTAATGACAAATAAGTTTTAACAGGTCAGGGTAAAGACCAAAAGTAAACTGCTTGCCATTGTGCCTGCCACAGTATCAGTTTTCAAAAACATCAGTGGAAAGGCTGTGACAAGGAAGAACAACCTTCACTGTATTCTGAAAATTTAAAATTAATAATATATCTGCAGGCCTCATCACTTTTCTAGTACTGCTGGCCCTTACTTAAACAAGCATGCAGAAGTAACAGACAGCAGTCTGATGAGCATTTTCCTTTTTTTTTTTTTTAACCCTGAAATCAATGGGTGTTTACTTCTCCTCTATATTGATATCAGATCAGGCATTTCCCTCATACCTTTAGCAGCAGAGAATAAAACCACACAGTGTCTCTGTATTTCTTAGCACACACACACATTCAATGCAGGGGCAAGAATTTTCTTGCAGAATAGCACTAGTGTATGATCTCTGAAAAGAGACTTTTGCCCAACAGAGACCTACCTGAGAGGAGTGAGCAAGCCAGGTTAATGATATTCCTCCCACACAGCTGTGTCCATTGTGTGAAGCAGCACTCTTGACCATCTCTGTTGAAAGGTGCATGTTGCTTGTCCTGTGCTAACCTTGCAATGTCCACCAGTTCAAGCAGGAAGTGTACATGAAGCTGCACTCATACCAGAGAAGAAAATAACTATATAAATTCCTTGAAAGATATTTGTAAAACTGGAGAATAACAAAAATAAACAGGATTTTTTACTCAAAGCTTATGCTCAGAAAGCATTTCTTTCTTTAAATAAGTTAATGCTGAACTTCAGAGTAGTGTTTTCTTACTGCCACATATCTGAGTTCTGTGTCACCCCACAGATTTTGTCAGAGAGCTGATTTACTGCCAGAGTATGAATCCAGTAATCCAGAGAGTACCAGGATAATTTACTGTTACCTAAGTCTGTTCCAAAATGCGATTCCATGTACAATATCTTATGAAGTGTCTATTTATACTGTATGTATAAAGTAAAAAGTAAAAAGGAAGTATGTATACTTCCTTTTGTAAAGCAGGGAGAGGGAGGATAGATAAAACTGATGATTAGAGTGGTTAACCCCAAAATACATTTTGAGATCTTGATTAGAAAAAATACCAGAATGATACATCAGAGTAACATGTAATGTGACTAATTGCAGTAGGGTCATATTTCAGCTAAAAAAGTTATAGGCCATATCCCCTCATGTTCAAGCTGCTTATCTAATAATGTCATTTAATAATATGTTCTTAAAAGAACATAGAGATTTCAGTAGCATCATTACACATGATATGTCTGTGTACAAAGAAAGAAAATGTAGTGCTGAAATATTTTTTTATTCATGCTGGCAAAGCTGTCAAGGTATAGCTTTGGGGTCATAAAAACAAATGCTACTAATGCCAGAATAACTTGTGTGTCTCAGATTGTGATATCCACTTAGGAAACAAAGAGCTGCAGTAGTTTGCTGTGCCAGTTCATAGGATATGGGCTGTATCCAGTGTACCAGAGGAAACTGGTGAAGTACATCAACCTTTTCAGTAAACTGTCTACATAGTCCAGCTGTTCCATATTTTATTTCTAAGAGATATCATAATTATCTTCATTATTATAATATTTGCCTTCTTCTATTCTGGCTCCACAGATGAGTTGAGGCACAGCAGAGAGCTTGCTGAGTCTGTGACACAAGCTTTTACTACAAATCACCATTTGCTCAAAAGGGCTGAATGGATGGAGTTGTGTAAATAAGAATTTCCAGTCTCCTGCTGTTCACACCAGGTTGTGCTGATGTGTTTCTAGGAGCAAGCTGATTCCCTCCTGCTGCTCATAAAAAAATCTTTCCCAGAACAGTTTGGAAAATTTTCTTGTAAAAAATGAAGTGCTACAGACAATGTGTTTAGGAAGTGTTAATAGATAGTGCAGCGGAGGGTTTGGTTGGCTTCTGCCCCCCAAAAACAGCATTGGATACACCACTGATGGCTGGCTAATGTTACATTTGTTAGCTACCTTTGGAGGAGCTAGAGTATTACTAGACTTCAATATTTATGATTGCCAGTTTCTGTTTCTGTTAGTTTATGATAAGACCTGAGCCAATGTTCTTTCTATATAATACATTTTAGGTAATGTATACATGAAACAGTTGTAAACTGTCTCATATTCATTATGCATTAGGAGTGAGCAATACAAATATACCATATATAGGGTTATTTTTCAAAGATGCGTAACTTTCAAAATACCTGTAAATATGCTGTCTATATCTTCAGATTTCTGAATTCCATGTCAGCTTAACATAATTTAAAAGAGAGAATAAGATAAACCATAATCATGGAAATAACATCCATATACTAATTACAAAATTGATTCTCTGTTGATCTTTGAGAGTTTTTATCTTGATTTAATGTCTTAATTTTATTCACCGTTTCTTTAGAAAAAAAGAGAAACTGCATTGCTGTCTTTATTGATGACATCTATTAATAACCATCTAATATTCACCATTCAGCTCTCCAAAGACATCAATGTCACAAATCATATCTGCCACTGGGATGCAATCATCTCTGCCGTGACACTCCTCAGTAACCTACAGTCATGCTGCATTGTGAAGGAATGCCTCATTTAACTCAAAACATAGGGAAGTTTAAAACGTCAACTGAAAGTCAGAGCTGAGCACTATCTGTCCAAAACTGAATGACAAAGAAAGAACTCTGATGAAAATAATCCCCTAAAGTAAATCCTGTCACTTTTGATCCAGATTGGCTCAATGGAACGATTTACAATATGACTTTACAGACAACCATATAGACACGGTGGCAGGGACACTAAATTGAAGAATAAAGACAGAAAAAGTGGCATATGAAAGGAGGGCAAGAATTTTCTAAGTGGCTTTTCCACTGACTATGGTGTTTTCTATGATGACAGCCAAGTCTGTGCTCATATCCATCAGTGTTTTACAGGCCTGGTAGTTCTTAATGTTCTTAATCTCTGAGAGATGGGTATGCACACCAGGAGTGTATATTCTCGGATTATAGAAAGCTATAATATTATGCCACATTCATTTAAATATTTCCGGGCCTCTGCTGTTCTCTCAGATCAAGACATTGTGTAAATGTGATTTAAAGGCTATTACTATACTAGAAAACAATATTTTCTGGGGAGCACTTTTAGCCCTCAGGCAAGATGACAGTGCAGCTTTCATCCACACAGTTAAACACTCTTTGCATCCATACTGTACTTTGGGGCAGTTCTGTGGCTAATGATAATTCCCTATGCTTGGGAATTTTCTAGGGAGTGCTTTCTAACTTAGGCAAAAACAGTTCTAGAGGATGTGTTAACAATTTATCAGCTACAATAATTATAAAAAAAATGCCTGAATTGATGCTCTGACTGTTTACTTTAAAAGTGTAGCCCTCTGGTTTGGTCTTCCATATCAAGATGAAATTCTTTTAGTGTCAGTGAACTTCACTAAAGTGATCATTCTCCATTCAATTCCACATCAGCATAGATTCATAGGACAGTGACAAAGCTCACCATGAAACTTTAATTCACTGCTGCTCTACCTTCCCTTTCTCTATAAAACAGCCCCAGCAGAGCATATAAAAACAAGTTTCAGGAACCAGGAACCTGGAGCTGGAGTTCTTTTATGCTCAGTGGAGGAAATGGGAGCTCCAGCACCTCTTGCATTGCAGGTAGAAGAAAAGTCTTAAGGCAACTGTGGCTAGTAGATGTTATTCACTGAACACAGCTTCACAGATCCTTTTCCAAAATATTTCCTAGAAGGATAAGATACTTGATTTTGTTTCCCTTTGATCTTTGTTTCCCTAAGAAACTCTGAATTCCCTAACACTAAAGCACCTATTTTACTGAATGGAGGGAAAAAAGAGAAATTAATATAAAGCTGTGTCTTTATTTAGTTTTAGTCAGTTATCTGGATTTTCAAAAACAATTATTCTAAATGATTCCTCATGATATTAGGTGATCTAATACCCAGATCTCTGAAGCAGAATTTAGCATAGACATTAGTTACTTATGATAGCTGAGTGTTCATCCAACTCACAGTTCATTGCTTCAACATTTTCTTCTGGATGGTTAGGTTTAGATGGATTTGAGTAGCAAATTTAGATATAAATTTTTAAAACCTTCTTTACTGAGCATACAAGGAAGAATTGTTTACTCTTTCATTAAGTTTTGTAGGCTTGATCCCATTTAGAGGTTTCTCATAAAAATGATAAATCACTTTTTTTTTTTTTCACAGAAAAGCAACTCTTCCTAAATTTCAATTTCCTCTTCTGAGAAAGAAGGTTTTAGGCCTTCTTCAAAAAACATTTTCAATATTTTTTTTTAGTATATGGAAACAATATTTCTCTATGTCCCTTTCTTAGGAAATGCATGAATTGATTTGTTTGAAGCAAGTAAGTAGGAAATCAACCTTGTGCAGTCATTCGGCAAGTACATTTTTAGTCCCTATGGTTATACTTTGTCAAAATTAAAAGCCATTGAAAACAAAGTGTTATGATAGAAAATGTCAGTCAACCTTAACATCTCTGCCTATACTATAAAAGTTTGAAAAAAAAAAAAGGGCAAAAGAAAGAAAAATGAGTTTTTAAAAATAATGTCAACTTACACGTTTGAGAAATGTTTTGAAATTCACACAGGATCTGTTTAGCCTCTGGGCAAAAACTAATACTAGGAAAAAAATTACTCTTTCATCTCTGTAACACTGTGTACTAATTTTTTAGCAAAAGGTTGGACTAATAGAAATGGATGGCTCTCAATGGGATGTGCAGTGTGCTATTGAGCCTCCCATTTTTCAAAAGGGGGGTTAAAAAGCAGTAGAGATAACATGATGATGTCAAGATGTCTTACTTTGGTGGCTAAAACAATATCTAGTGTTTCTGTAACATTTTTCCTATTCTACTCACTACTTCATACAAATAATAGCCTAGTGAACAATATTCACAACAACTGGTATGTAGCAGCCATGAAACTTGATATATATATTAGAGTGGTAAAGAAACCCTTCAGATGGTGCAAAACAATATAATACAATTTTGGACTTTATATACTATTATCCTCCAAATTAACTTCTTGGCAGATCAGTAGTCTTCAGTTTCTGAAATTCTTAATCTGGATTGATGGCATGAAATTAAAAAAAAAAAAAAGTAAATGTTTTTGGAGGTTGAAGTTTGTCACTTATTGTTAGCTGAAGTTCTTAGAGAATATCAACTTTGCTTAGGAAATTGAATTAAAGAACAAGGGACTAAATATGTATGCTTTGGCCAAGAGACTTCCTCAGTTATATGCATATGCCATGAATAGAGAGGAACTATTTTATGCAATCTGGGAAGGTCCAGTAACAGCAAACAGAGGTCTGAAGACAGGGAAGAAAAAAAAAAAAAAAAAAAGGAAAAAAAAAAGAGACAATTTTAGAAGATAAGAAACTGTAATATCTACTAAGTTATGAATCAGAAGTAGAGGGCAATCCTATCAATGGTTCCTTTATTCATAAACTGAATAAAATGATGAAAATTTTCCTGTACATGAAAGATCCACACTGTATGTTTCTGTTTGGATTTTAGAAGGGCTCAAAACAATTCAAATACCCATGTATACTAACTGCACCTAAATGTGTATTTCACTTCATTGATTCTCCCAAAATGGTGAGCGTAATTGAAACAAAAGGGACTTAGATCAGCTGTTTCAGGGGTGTGCAAGGAGTAGATACCTGTGCAAGGAGTAGATTGCCAGTGCAGCAGCTAGCAAGATCATTGTTTATTTTTTTTTTTCTTTTATTATATTAAAGTAGGCTAGACCTACTATCTGATAGGAAAGGTTTAGG